ATATATATATTTGTAGGGATTGGATCAAATGAGTCCACATATTTAAAGTGTGAATGTGAGACTCATTCCTAGCCACTAGATTGGTACATTATGTGTGGCCAAGATTTAACTCCTCAATTAAATAATAATTCTTTATTTTTATTACTTAATTCTTTATTTTTATTATTTTAATTATTTAAATATTATTTTGACAATTGACCATTGACTTCAGCGTTGATCGTTGACTCCCGCGTTGACCGTTGACTTTTGGCGTTGATCGTTGACTTCCAACATTGACTGTTGACCCTTAGTATGCATTGTGTATGAAGTAAATATGCATACAGTACTATGCACTTAGTATGAGCTAAATATGCATAAGAAATGAATTATATATGTTATCCTTATGAACTAAATATGCACCAATAATATCAACTAGGTATGCACTGTTTATGTACTAAATATGCACATTTTACTACCTAAACATGCATCATGAATGAACTAAATATGCAACGAAAATATGCAATAATATTGTAACGCCTCGTTCGATTTATAGAATTTCTCGAAATATTCTATTTATCGAATATTATTTTTAAAAGGCTATATTTATTTTATTAGTCGCGATGTCGACTTAAATAAAAGGTTGGAGTACTTGATCGTTTTAAATAAAACGTTCGTCGTCCGGCAATTTTGGATTAATCACGTAATTTTATTTGGAAGTCTTTTTCCGATTATCTATTGGACCTTAGTCTCAGCCCAATTCCTTTTCCTAATTCGGCCCTTATGCAGCTTGGATATTTAATCCAATCGACCTTATATCATTCCCTCATGTGCCTTGTAAGAATTGTTCATCTTTTACTAAGGGCTTGTTTGTTTTTTGGCGTTTTGGGCCAAACCGCTGTTTTAGCGGGTTTGACCAATCTCAAAACGCCAAAATAAAGTTTTCATGTTGTTTGGTTAGTTGGCTTATCATTTCAGCTTTTTCTGTCAAAACGCTAAAAAGTGAAACGCTGGAGATAGCAGCGTTTTCAACTAGCTTTTACACATTCTTAATTTTTTTTAACAAGTAATTATTCCCAATTTGTGAAAAAAAAAAAAATATTTATTCCCGCAAGTTGATAT